ATCATTTTACACACTTGAAAATTCTGTCCTTACTTCGTCGAAAGATTTTACCTTTTGACCCTCTCCATGATCGCTCGAGTCAAAGTACCTGCCTAAAATCCGAAACACACAATTGCATATATATCAATTTTGAATTCTTGTCACTTGTTAACACAGGTTGTTATGGCACCTCTCAAAATACCAGTGATATGTACAGAAAAAAAAGTTCTTACAAATAACGATATGCTACTTTCAAATTATGAATATTCCATCGACCTAGCTTCTGTAACTGTGTCCCCTACCACATTCGACCTAACTGATTTGTTAAGTATTTCTGTACCAGTGCAAAATAATGGACAATATTTCTGGCGATACAAAAATAAAATACTTTGGGTTTCCACTTTTATTTGAAAGACTAAACTGTTCAAAAAACATTGCACAATTCTAGGTATTTTTTTTTTCATAATACATATAGTTATGAAACAACATTTGTACTTTAAAACAACATCATGTACTGTGTACTGAAAATATAAAGGTAAAAAAACCCTTCAATCTACATACTGGAATAGACAAACATGTTTTGACTTAAATATCATAATAAACTTTGTTATGCAGACATAAATACCCAAATATAACTGAGCGCTCTAGCGGAGGATAAAAACAGAAAATGTGTATCTAAGGGGACGAATTCAAAAGAAAGATAAGGATAATATACGTGAGTTTTATAATCACATCATGTTTTCATACTCAGAGTTTGATTCATCTGTAGTCAGAATTTGGAAAAGTCGATCACTGTAGGAGGGTGTGTATTCAGGATATCTGTCTCGAATAGCCCTACACAAGTGACGAATCGAGGTGTTGCGAAAATTCAGATTCATTCCTACACTTTGACAGATACTGGTCAATTTTCGGCTCTGGTTGTTCTTGCCGATTGGAGTTGTGGAGTACCAACAACCTGTTTTGTTAAATTCCTCGTAGCTTGTTGGCTGTTGAAAGAAGACCTGAGATTCTGGATTAAGTTTTGAGAGATAGAGTTCAAACGAGTAAACAGGGCAGTGGAGATTTCCTGGCTGTTCGTACATTCTAGCTGCTATCTGCAGAGAAACCTTTGGATCATGAACTTTGTAATACTTTCGTCCTGTGTTAAGATCCGTACAGCAACAAAATGTCTTCTTGGACATATTTCGCAGCAACTGGCGGGTAAAACCTCCAAAATATAAATTGATATCAAGCCACACTTTGTTTTGCAATGTATAACGATCATTCAGTCCCAGTGCTGAAGATGCATACACTTTCTTCAAATCGGAAAAAGTAATGGATATGTTTGTTGAGCCTACTTCCGTTCTTTCCGCATCGTCAAGATACACAGGATTTCGGCTTATCATACTATTGGAGGACCTAAATTCCGTATCATTCTCAATATCGATATTGCGATAGAACGGAGCCGAACTCAGATGAAGCGTCAGCATGGGCGGAAACATTGCCAAAGGAAGAGAAGAAATTGACACAGCGTCTCCGTAAAAGTGACACAGAATCCGATTTAACTTTGATGCATCCATCATTTCAAAGTCTGCTTTGTAACCATTGTGTAAAAGCCATTCTGAAACGACAGAAAGGATATTCCATGAAAGAGACTGTCAAGCCCAATGTATTTCACGGTAAAATAAGAGAAACATTTCGAACATTCCGAGACTAAACTGTACTCTCTCAGACAAGGAAAGGGGGATCGATGAATTATTTTGTTTTACCGTTTTGAATGGGCAAAATAACAAACCGAATTCAATTAAAGACACATCTCACATTGACAGTTTCAAATTACTGTCAAAGTGTTTAAAGTATTGAACAATAAAGCACTTAATAGACATAATTCCAATTAAAACATAGGTAATCAAAGATCAAGGTCACCTCAACGAATATTACAATACAAGGCAAAGCCTTGCACCAATGGGATGTTCTGGTAGTGTGCATCCTTAGATGCAACATCCAGGAATAATGACAAGGTATTGCTTATAATTACATGAGTATGGACTTGCTCCATACACTTTGACCTGCTAACTCATTAAGAAAATACAATCCATAGGCAAAATCTAAATCAAGCCTACTTGTGTGCATCCCTAGAAGCATCAACCATGCACGTTTGGTCTGGGTGGTATAAGGCTTAACGTTACTGTGGAATAGACCTGATCGAAAAACTTAATCCAGAAAATACGCAGCATTCGAAGCGTGTCTGGTAAGGTGCATCCCTACAGGCATCATCCATGCATACAAGTTTGGTCAACAATGGGTTTTCTGTTATTTGGGAATGGATCCGCACCTAAAACGTTCATCTGTCAACCTGGGTATAGTATTTATTAGTTTCTTATAACTTCGTCAAGGTGAGCTTAAAGTTACACTTTCACGAAATATTCATAAAATGTTCAAGGGCTCCTAACAAAAATAAGCAATATTTTTTCCTGCCAGCATATTTCAAGTATTTTCTGGATTTCTCATACTGAAAGCCAGCGAGCTGTTATAATACGTGATTTTCAAAATGCCTTTTGAAGAAAGCACTAGGTTTCAAAGTGAAAGAACAAGTCTCAATGAGGCTTAACTGTGGTCCCCGGTAACTCGTCTTTCCTGATTCCATGCGCAGACTTCTCTACTTTTTAAAGGTAAGTGTTTGCTAACATTTACTAACTAGATATTTTTATGAATAAACACCCATCCATAAAATTTTAAAGTTGAAACATGAAATTCATGTACTAAACGCTTACGAGCATTGACACCTTGAATATGCTCTTCCTTCCTTTCTCTTCATTTTTCTCTGCATATATATCCTACATGTACTCTAAGAATATTAAACTTTTAACTGCATAGTCTGTATTTAAACCACAGAATAAAAGCATTTGATAAACCACAAACAAGAAATTTCACAAATATTACCATTATAAGAAACTGTCCACAACTTGAAGTGAAATGTTTCCATTACTGTTCAAGACAAAAAGTACTCATCAAAGGCATGGAGAAAGGAGAGGTAATTAAATTATGAACAATCTGAAAAGTATTTTTTCTCAGTTGCAATACTTATCCTTTTCCATGATTATGTAAATTAAAGACTTCAATAAATATATTTTTAGGACATTATAGAATATACCTTTCTCCTTTGAATTATTCTAAAGACATAATTATTTTTTGGTGACACCCACCTGCAAAATACCATAACTCTTGTCAAAGTTAAGTACTATATAAAAAGTAAAATGTAAATCCGGATCATTACACATGCTCATGATTACTAGTATTCACCAGCATACAAAAAGCCTAGGTTAAAAAGAATACATTACAGCTCTGGCATTATGAAAGGGGGATCATTTTCAATTCAAAGGTCTGGACCCGGAAGGTACTTGGCATATCATCTTTAGACTATGAAGCTAATACCATAAGCACATGTTCAAAAAACAGGCAAAAATTCTGTTCCGGATTGAACTGTATCAGAAAAGAGAGAACAGATTTTTTTAGAAAAGCAGAGTTCAATAACATCGATATGGAGGCAAGAGTTTAAAAAGGGAAGAAAAAAGCATACATTTGACTACTGGAAAGAAGAGTCGAAGAAATTCAGATTTAACAGACATTGTTACAAAAGATAATATTCAGACAGCGTCAAATTACTATTAAATGCTGTTCTACAAAGCAATTTCAGATATCGAATCGAGTGAAAAATCTATGATGACATCTTAAGGACATACGCAACGTACCTTACCTACTGATAATTTTTCAAGATATATTCTTTATTTAAGATTATAGTGCCATCAAATGTTCGTAGACAAAAAAATCAGCATGCATTACCAGGGGTTTTGAAAAGATATCAATTGATGAAAATTTTTGTATAATTTAAAGAAAAATATACAAAAATTACTAAACATATATTGTAGATGTTTTGTTTATCAAAACTTGTTTTAGAAGAAGTGTACAACAGCATATATAGACAATAAAATGTATCACACAGTTCCTTGAAGTATTGGAACTCTTCAGCTCCAGGGAAAAAGACAATAAAGTTCAAACTACGTTGCGTATGTCCTTAAGCATATATAAAAAAGCTTAGTTAACAACTTCTTTGCTCATTTATTATTATGTGTCTCGAAGGCAATCTGACTTGACAATTTTATACTATCTATACCTTTTAATTATTGACTGGGTTGAAGGGCAATAAGAGTTTTGTCTGACCCAAGAATCAAACTGCTTGCCTGAGGCTGTAAAGCGAAAGGCAACAGTTTGGTTTGAGGGTTCGGAAAAAAAGTTTTGCCCTCAAACCCAGCCAATAAATGTTCTGTTACTCCTTTTATTTTCATTACGACGTATCTTGCCCTAGTTTCCGTGCATTCTTGTTAAGAAGATGACACAATAATAATGAAAATTTAAGTTACCCACATTGCGGATTTAACTCTAGCAATTCCGTAACAAACACCAACGCATCCAAATAAGATTTACATGTAGCGGATCACGCCTACGTTGAGGAATAAATTGTGACGTAAAAAATGTCATAGCAATTCAATATTTCACCGACGGTCCTACATCGAAATTTTTGGTCCTCTCTGACTCAGTAAAACATTGGGTATTTTTGATTCTTACTATATAGGAAACAATTTTTAAAGGTATAATAATATATCAAGTCACTTTTTAAAAAATATCATTCTTTGTAAATTCAAAAGCTTTCATTTTATGACTTTACAAATTTTAATGACATTTCTTCGCACAAAAATAAAAAACATTGCTGCAATACACATAGAAACCATGCCCAAAACGTATCTATACGTGTGTCCTGACCCCAAACATTAAAATTGAAAAGAAACTATTTGAGTGATCTGCAAATATGTAACAGTTTAAATGATGACTAAGCACCACTTTCAACTGAAACCTAATTTTTTAAATTAAAACTGGAGGGATCTCAGGAAGAATAAAACCCATTGATAGAAAATACCATTGCAGTTGATCCAAAGACAGTTGTATGCTTACCTCCCTATCTTAAACATAAATGAATCAAGATGTGAAGAAAATGCTGATCATCTTTATATATATCTAGTATTTTTGAAAACATGAATGCTATATTCTCTATGATTTCTGAACTCCTATGAATGGGACACAGTCTGGTCTATCTGTAGGAAAAATACTCCACAAAAGAAGACTGAATTTTAAAATTTTACCATATTAAAATACAAGCAAGAAATTAAGTACTGTACATCTAAAAAATTGAATTTACATGATAAAATTTTGACATAGATATATTTTGATATACAATAAATGAACTCTCAAACTATGGACCATTGATGCTCCCTTTTCTACATTGGGTTACCATAAAACAGTTCATGAATAATATTGCTGTTGACTCTGTGTTCGTCAGATGTTAATGAAGATGGGGGGAAAATGATGACACTTTTACTGGTTTTGTTGCGTGGATTTTGTCCCAGAACTTCTTCTACTGATCGTCCACTTTCCTCCACCAAATCTGCCAGAGTGTAACGTACACTGCTATTGGTGTAAATTCTCTTCAACCCTGCTTCTTCACTCATGCGTGACATCATACATGCCAATGAACTATGACCCACTGGAGAATCAAACCAAATAGCTCCATGATGTGAACTAAAATTAGATTTAGGTCTTTGAAAAAATGCTTTTTTGAATGGATTTCTCTTTTCTAGGTAAAGATCAAGAGTTTTAACTGGACAATTTGTGTCTTCAGGTACTTCATACATCCGTGCTTCCCAGCACCAGTATTGCATCTCCATACAGGAGCGAGACTTATCCACATTTATTTTGCGATTTAATCTGTAATACTTTCGTCCTTTTTCATCTACTTCTGCAACAAATGAATCAACAGTCAAGCCACGCATACCTGCTTGACCTCCAATTCCAAGGTGTATAGCAAGATCAAACCAAACTTTCCTAAATAAACCAATCGGATTTCTGTTGGTAAGAAGGCCAGAGTTCATAAGAGTCCGAATGTCTTCATGAAGCATGGGAACTTTGTTATGCGGCAGTTTCACTTTTGTTGTGGAGTTTTCTCTTGAATTCAAAGATTCTAAACACTCATTGGATGTCTGGAATGCAGATCCATCTTGAAAGGTATGATTCCATGTTGAATTATATCCTGATAAATGCCAGAATATACCATCACGAACTTCTTTAAGTCGATCAACATCTAGGTGTTTATTGCAAGATTCGATGTAAAATCGATAGAGAAGATCGTTTAGTTCAGATCCTTGAAAGTTTTCAAAACTTTGTGAGACATTTGATGCTGCCAGCCATTCTAAAAAAAAAAAAAAAAAGTTTTCTCAATATTAATTACATTTAAAAGGACATTACCAGTAATCAATATGAATCTGATCCATCAACATTTAAATAATGTAGTATCAATCTATATCTGGAAATTTCTTACCTCTAAATAATTTCACAGCCAAGTTTTCACCCGAGGCCGCTGCAGTAATCCTCGAGGCAAGCTCAACCTCCCGAGTTCCACTGCTCAGTCCTGTGAATGGTCGATTTATCAGTCATGTGATTTCATTTTTATATAACATTAGTAAAAGTTGTTACAGTTTAATATAATGGTGGTGGGTTTAAACAAATGATCCCTCTAGTTTTCATATTTTCAGCATATGCTTAAACTCAGCGATTACTGGTATTTACTTTGTATAGTCCATCTAAGGTTTCATTTTTTGTCCACTTGGACATGTAATTAGCATTAATTTACACGGTCTACTTTTATAAACAATAGTCTGAATGGCAAAAAAAGTAAACTGCATGTATTGTAAATATTTTTGTGATAGAAAATACAGAAATGTAGAATCTGGCTGAACATTTTTAACTCTGCTATCAAATCTCTTCCAAACACAGGAAGTGATAACAACAATACTCAACTATTATATTTTATTAATATAAAATAAATCTACATGTCAAACAAATTCAAACATTTCTATTGTAAACTCTAAAGATTATATCAAATAAATATCTAATAAAGTCATGCAAAAGCATTAAATCACAGAAAATATATAACAATGCTCTCAGACAACTAGACTCTAATACTGGTATGACAATTTTTACAATGTGGGAAAGCCAACATATATACATATACAAAATATCAATTGCAAAAACACGATTTGTAATTTTTTTTTTTAATATTCTTTACTAGTACATTGTATTAAGCGTAATATACAGTCAACATGCACTATAAAAATAGACTATAAAAATCTACAAAATTTGGTTCTATGATGCATATTTTTTTTGGTTACAAATGGTAATGTTTCAAATGCAACAAATATCACTAAGTACTTCAACATATGGAAGAATTGCCACAGCAGTATAACCAGCACGAAGAATGTAAATGCAGCAACAATGTAAAAAGTTACACTAGTCAACAAAAAAAAAAAGAAGAATTTATTTGTATATATGATAAAGCAGATCTTTTCATCATTTTGTATAACTTAAAGAAAAACAAAGTGTAAAACTACATTTGTTCATAGCATATATTGCCGTTTACAACCTTAAAGAGCAATAATCACAACAAAATTTCTATACAATACATTCTACAACTAGACTCAAGAACCTTTTTGAGACATATATACAGTTGCGATTTGCTTCAACCTTTACACAACTTTTCAATACATAAATCATTAAAATCAATAAATCATCAACATTTTAATACTTATTTTCAAAGCCTTTCACCTTCATGAAGTGAAAAAAAGAGCTACTTTGTCAATATTTTGGAATGTAAGCGAAATTATACCTTCAAACATGGATCTTTACTTCACAAAACAAGTTCATAAGTAGATTTGAGAAACATATGCAGATAATGTCACATGACCAAAACATGACGGACGGGTAGTGAATGAAGCAACTACTAAGTCATATGTGGTGTAAAGACGTCGACACAAAACACTAATGGCCCATCAAAAAAGAAAAAAAACATTTTGTAGAAAAATGCCCATCCAACAAATGATGTTAAATGTAAACCAAGTAAACAGGGGGAAATTACAATGAAGTGATATGTTTTTACATCTAAATATTGTATTCCCTTAACTGATCCCAAAGTTCTCGATCATCAGTCTATTACGATGGCACGTTTTTAACTGGGATTATATTTTGATGGTATGTGTAAAAGCAGCCCCTTCCCTTACAAAGAGGAACATCGCACACATCACACTTGTAGTATGTATACACATACCAGCCACTCTTGGTTTTGACTTTATTAATTTGGCACAAAACACAAGGTTTATATTTGGACCCTTCAGTGTGAACAATTTTGTGGTCTAGTTTTACCAGGTCGGCATTATTTGTAGAGGTATTGTAAGAGGTGGAGGAGGAGGAATTGAAAGCTAGGCTTGGACTGTAAGGCCAGCTATGACGGCGGGAATAATCAGAGAAATCATTGAGAGCTTGTAATTCTGCTTGGGATGGTGCCTGGTCCTTGATTATGTGTCGTGGCTCACTTTTCTTGCTCTTTCTTCGGGAAGAAGACGGTTCTGAAATAATAAAGGATAGAACATGCATAACTTTATTATTTCAGAACCGATTTATCATTTTATTCTTGTCTCGTCTTGAACATTTAATGTGAAAATAAAACAAATTCATGCTTAACAGACAATTGAAAAAACAAAGTTTTAAAAACAGCAATTATTTTAAAACAAAATTCTCATTATTCCATTACCGTTTACTACTAAATTCTATATTACCAAAGATTTCAAAGCAACTACATGTATCTACAAGAGGATGTGTATTTTTTAAGCAAGCAAGAGCCTATTCTGTGTTGTGTTACCATGTTACTAAACAGACAATGGAAGTAAGAAGCATTAACTTTCTAGTTTGTGAGATTTTGATTAGAGTGAACCAGTTTTTGTGAGTAGTTACAATCTTCTTGTGAAAGTTGGGTAGTAATGCTTCTATAAGCACCTGTTTCACTTCCTATCTCCAATTTTGCCAAAAAAAATTCCACTGTTCTCCAGGAAATAAATTTAAACAACAACTGTTTATTAACAATCATTTTATTTAGTCCATATATTTATCTTAAAAAAAAAAAAACAAAAACAAAAAACACCAAAATACACTTTTAGTCAGATTTGGATTACATTAATAAATGTTCTCAATGACACAGTTTCCCTTACTAATATCTAAAGTTAAAAAAACTGAATGTCATTTCTTTGCATCAACTTTGCAATTACAATGAAATCTTAATATAATAAAGATTACAATTCATGTAGCACAAGAACTTCAAAAACAACTACCATACAATTTAGTATCCTATCATACTTGATTAAAACATAAATCAAACCATGGTAATCTCAGGACTTTCAGATTTTTTCCCTTTCTTTCTATGAATTATAGGTATTAGATGGTCACCAGGGTCAATTTGTGTCACTGGCACTTCAAACTCAACATTAACATGGGACTCCAATTTATAAAATTCAATGTAGAAAGTGTTGAAAACTGGGAATAATGATGGTAGTCTTAGATGGTTATTTGACTAAAATTTGTCATTATTAAGTTACTGTATCCCAGGAAATTTTTGCTCCCATTTTATTTTCTCCCCTTTTGTGGCATGAGGGCAAATTCAAAATAGGGCAAGTTTAAGGAAGACAGTTAGCTCTTATAACAAAACTGTGTTATTGGTGAATTTAAAATGAGGCAAAATTGTTTTCAAGTGTAAATAGGGTGAAAATATCCCTGTATATAGTAACTGGATAGAGATCCAATTGTAACTGCTTAAAGATTTCAGATATACTCTATATATCTAATTCTTTTTTCAATGTAAATATATGCAAACACTTCCATAACTTTTATAAATCCAATTATTTTTGTATGGAAAATGTAGGTTAATTTTTACAGTCCTAATTCAGTAACATATACTAAAAGGTAAACACTCACAACCCCCCCCCCCCCTTTCAGAAAATTCCAATTACTTACATGGATTTCAAAGTAGGAACTTTTAAAAAATTCTCTGTCTTTGTTCAGAAAGAATGAAATGAATGTATATACCAAGCTTAGATCTTATATTAGACCAATTTTTTTTTTTTTTTTTTTTTTTAAATTTTGTGCATTTTTTTTTCCAAGTTGTAAAGTGTAGAAAACATTCATCTTGATGAATTTCATCATGAATTCATTCATGAATTGAATGAACTTCAGAACAAAACAGCAAGTCCAGTGTACTCTTCCTCTCTCTCTCTTTTTTTTTTAAAAAAAGAACTAGTATATTATCACAACTCAATGACCTCCATCTGTCATAACCCAAATACACAAATTACAGACAAGTCATCTACAAGAAAATATCCATCAGCAATGAAATGCCACACTCTATATTCATATGGCATCCCTCAGGCCTTCACGTTGCTTCTTTCATGCAGTCAGTGTCTATATTCAGTAACTGTTTATGATAATTGAAGAAACAGTTTCTTTCCCCTGTACAAAGTGGAACTTCACACAATGAGCACATGTACTGAGTCAACACTTTCCAACCTGATCTTGTTTTCACTCTGTTCATCTGACAAAATACACATCGCTTCTGCTTATATGCTGCAGTATGCACTGCTTTATGGTCTGTGGATTCAACAGGAATTCCTTTGGCCACAAGAGAACGGCGTACCAATTCACTGTTTTCCTTCCGAAGGCGACCAATTTGCACTGCCAACTGAGGATGGAATTCAATAGGTTCCTGATTTGGTAATACTGAATCATGGGTGCTTTTTGTGGCTGCATATTGGTAATATTTATAGAGATGTTGTGATGTGGGTAAGAATTGTTTCTCTGAAAAGAGACAATACCAACCATCATTTCCTTCCCCAATACTAGTACACTCCAAGCAAAAAGACGGAACAATGGTGGATGCAGTAAAACAAAATTCTACACTTACAAATTAATACTTAGACATGCTTTCTACTTCAAAGGCTAAGTTGGTGTGAAATTCATTGAAACACTCCTTATCAACACATAAAGGAATTTGGCAAGACTCGCATATATGCTTGGAAATCACATTGTTGCCATTATATAAGCAGTATACACAAAAATTGGGTTCACTGTCCTTTGGGCAGTGAAATCTACCCGACAGAATATTTTTATGATGAACTAAGAAACAGTCTCTGTTGTCAACACAAAGAGCCAAATTGCAACCCAGGCATTTGCTTCGAGTCAAGACTTTCCAGCCTGACTTAGTTTTGTTTTTACTGATACGACAGTTTGTACATTGTTTACGCCTTGATGGAGTGTCTGCAGCAGTCAAAGGAATAGGACGGTGATGTCTGGTTTCAAGTGTCACAAAGTTATGGTCTGAAAGGAAACAAAACTACACTCAGTGGCTTTCTTTGGGGTCAGAGAAGATGCAGATTTTAAGTAAACAAACAATGTCGAGAAGATGCAGATTTTAATTACACAATGTTCATCGGTATAAAAAGAACTATGCAAAAATAGATAAAAATTGCATCCCCAATTCAGATTGAACACTGGAGTTTGTCTCAAATGCAACTTTCAAACCACAACTGCATG